GAGCAGAATATGGTAGGGCTGCGGCACTGAAGGCTAGTATCTCTAAATGGAAATTACAGATGGGAGAAACCTTCTAAGTTCAATCTTATACTACTGCTGCTCACTATCATTTGCATGATGACTTCCATAAACTCACTAACTTTTCTAGAATATAACTAGTGAATTATTTTTGCATTTTATAAGTGTTGCTTTTCTTGGAACATTTACCTCAAAAGCTTGACTTTCCAGTAAAAGCCTTTCCCTAATTTCCAACCTAATTCTTGGTTATAAATTGTCTATTTTGTTATGTTGTCCTTTATCTTAAGAGCTTCCTTCATCTCTTCTCATAAATTAGGTTCTCCATTTGCATCATCATCCTGCTAGCTCTGGTCTAATGGGAGTCTGTTGTTCTTGAACACAGATGATCAGGATTGTGATCTGTTTTCCAGATGAGATCTCACTAAAGCCTCCAGTAATATTACTGCTATTTTCCTGTATCCTGGGAATGTCAGTTCACTATAATTTTCTGTGCCCTCCTTTTTTTTTAATTAAGGAGAAGATTTCATAATTATATTCTGGGGTGGAATTGGTCACTGAATACCTTCTCACAGGATTTCAGTTCTCTCTTTAACAAAAGTTGTTTGACTGCAAAATGTAGAATAAAAACGTTTGTTCTCAGCATTTACAAATGCATGTTTGCACCTGGTACTTATTCTTAAGAATGGTTTCCTAGCACTTACCAGTGCATATAGTCTTGTATATTTGCCTTCCAGAAAAAACGTCACAGAAAAATAATTTTGCCAGCTGCTGCTGAAAAGCATTTATACATGTCAGTTAAAGATGGTTGTTATTTCTTTATGGGTTAGAAATACTCCATCTTTCTGAGGCTTTAAAAATATGTAGAATCCTAAGTACCACAAATTAAAAGTAACTTCAGGACATGCGGATGTGACTTGTCCTAGGTAGAGGAAGCTCACAGATTTTTATGCTGTATTTGGTGGCAAGATAAAACTAAACTTTTGAAAAGCCTGTTTCTCCTCTATCTCATTTTTTGAGCTGTCTAGGTGATAATCCTAACAAACAGTGCACATTTGTATTTGATTCAAGGGAAGAGTGCATGAAGTGCATAGTTTTCCCAGCCTTTTGAGTTCTCTTGCAAAAGAATTCTGTCTCCCTGGCAACGATTAAAACTGGGGAAATTGCTCTTTGTTGGATTCCCACCCCCCACCCAAGCTCCAAAGTCTACCAGAGCTTGGCACTTCCCCCTTTGCATCAGTGCAGTGTTCCCATAATCTGTTAGTTTTGTTCCTTTATGCAGGGATAACTTTGGTAAAAGGGAAAATAAAACAACAGACACGTTTGGGATAAGAGCACAGTGTGTCCCTTTCCTCTGCTCTACTGCTCTTGTTTAGACGCAACTTAGAAATGATTATGTTTACAGAAAAGCCAGTGGGTCTTGTAATGTCGAGGTGTCTGCACAGGTACTGACGGCTGTAGATTGCATATAAGATGGCCTTACTCTTGCATTTGTTGTTACCTGCATTGTTTTTTTCATAGCACTTGGTGCAGTAAAATACCTATGGCAAACTTGAGTAAGGCTGATGAAATCCTAGTTAAATATCTGTTATCTTATGTCTGAGGAAATACATATTTATATGTAAAATTAAATACCTGTGTGAATGTGTTGCTTTCATTAATACTGTATACTGCCAGGTAAAAGTCCAAGCACTTAACATGTTCTGTTACTGATCCATCATCTAGGATATAGAATCTCTCGTGCAGATTGATAACCAAGGCAACTTTCATAGCCAGAGTCAGCAGAGGTGGCTAACCTGGGTTTTGAAACTGAGTAGCTTGTTGAACTCCCATGTGCTTTGTAAAGAGCCCGAAAGAAATAGCTTTATCAAATTTCAGACACATGCTTTTAGGTTTAGGATAGGTGTTTCTCACTGCCTCCGAATCACTTGTCTAGAATAAGATAGGTAAAACGTTGCTGCCACCTTGAGGGTGTTATCTTGTGTTTACATTGTGAAACTTTCAGCTTGCTAGAGTGCTGGAGTTTAATATATTTGCTCGGTTTTATATAAGTTAATTATTGGGAGTGTGTAGAGGGTGAGCCGTTACAGCAGATCTTAGCCAAAGACATAGCCAGGGATTAGAATGACTTTAAAGCAAGATGTTTTATTGAACCTTGTTCTCTGTAGCAGCAAAAAAAGCAAGAGGATGGACTGTGCAGAGTGAGGACTTGCAAGCAGAGAGAGATTGAGTAGCAAGATTTTCTGCCATTGTTCATTTTTATAACCTCAGGAGTGACGGGAGCTCAGAATTCCAGCATAGACTAATGAACTTGCTGTTTGTACAGTTCCTGACTCTGGTCCTTGTTCTTTGAAGTGATTCCAGCAAAATCTGCAAAGCAAACTGCAACAACTGTGTTGCCCAGTATATTGCATTTCTTAAATACGGGGTTCTCCCTGCTCTCAGTTTGGTGAAAGTGTACATTCAAATAATCTGAAGAACAGGATGTAATGGTAAATGGAAATTTTCTGTAAGAGAACTTAAAATTTTATGCACTCTGGGAATGCACACATTGAAAGAACAGAAAAGTTTCTCAACATCCCATCTGTGTTTGTGGAAGATCTTGTTTCAGTCGAAACCAAAGAAATCTTTTATTTGTTTCTCTAGTCTCTTTCCTACCTTCCTTCTTTTCCCTAAAGGGAGGGATAATCCACTGTATTTCCAGCTTTATGGTTTTGTATTGAATTGAGATTTCCATCACAAGAAGAGAGACTTGGAGCAATTATTGCCCCCTTGTTTTGGCAGCTCACTGTGCTGGCCCACCCCTTACAACAAGGAGTGGGCAGAACTTAGTACCCCGCAGTGCCTTAGTACAGGCCTGTGGTAAACCGAATTAGAGAGTACGTATAACCTCCACCCCCCAAAAATAAACAAAATAAAAACTTTTGTTTTGTTTTTTTTTCCTTCCAGATTTGTTCCTTGATCAGATTCCAAGGGAAATGTACCTTGGAAAGGGCATTATAGTGGAGGGATGAGTAGGGATTGCCAAGGCAGCCTGAGCAGCGTGGTTTAGGCTGCCATGGCATCAGTGTAATGATGAAATATATCACTGCAGAGCAGATCTGAGCCATCTTTCATCTCTTTTATGAGAATGATGAGTTATCATCAGAAACTCTCTCACAAACCTAATATTTAAATACTCTTTTGTCTGTTAAATCCTCCTGTCTGTTAATTCTCTTAAGTATGTTTTGTAGACAGCTTCTGTTAGTATTGTTATCTCTGTCTCCAGCTGAAGTTACGTCATGGCTTCCTCTCTTCAGATTCTGTTGCCTATTCTTCCTGCTGAAAATTTATTGAATGTCTTCAAAATGGTATTTTTCCATGCTCCTTGCACTGTGTTGAGGTCTACCACAATTTCTGTGTCAGAAAAGTTCATCAGTGAGGCTGGAGAACAGTGCCAGCTCTGTTTAGGTTTGAAAATAGGCTTGCATGTCCTCACCCCAATATGAGAGATTTAGGTAATAAAGTTATTCAAAGAGAAGACGGGGCAACTTCAGTCCCTTTAGACCCATCACTTGACATGTCTCCCTTCTCTGCACCCAGAGTCTTTTGGTACTTTCTGTTCTCTCTTAAGTCTGTCACTTTTCCATGCCCCCCCATTCCTTGTGCTTAGAAAACTGACTCCATGTCCTTGCTAAACCATCATGATGCTTCTCAGTCTCTTGCCTCTCTTCCAGATACCTTTCATTTTTTCCTGTATCCTCATTTTCTTATTTCTGAGCTGTGCATGCACTCTTGAGCCCTCCCTTTTAGACTTCTTTCCTGTTCTTCCTCACTTATAGTGAGCTACCACAAGATGGCTTGCAAATTGCTATAGTTTTTCATTGATGCTTTGCCGTTCAGTATGCTAGAGCACTGACACTTGCAAAATATTTGATCTGATTTCTAAAAGAGTTTGTAGTACTGCAGGGTGGGAAGGTTATCCATGTCTACGGAAAGGAAGCTGGATTTCCATGCTTCTTCAGCTGAATGAAGTCCAGACACTAGTTAAATAGTAGAGAAGGAGTAAATAAAAGCAAGCTTGCTTTTCAAGCTTTGATCTTGCAGGGAAATTTAATTATTGCAGTCAGTATTAGAAGTGTCCTTGCCTGTCTTACCACCCTATAATAAGTGTGTTTATCTGGCAGTAACTACATTGGAAGCTGAAATGATCTAGATGTAATGGAGCCTTATTCTTCTACAGATAACTAGTGTCTTCTCAATGTCTTGAAAAAGTAGTCTTTATTTCCTGGAATGCTGTGTGCTCAAACCACAGTTTGAGCTAATTTTCTGTTGCTACAAGAATTACAGACCCTTCCTGTGGAATAAAACTATATTCATTCAGGTCCTGTGGTTGTAATGTGTATGACGAAACGTGCAAAACGATACTGTCCACAAGATGGCGTTGGCATATTACATCCCTGCTGTGTTCATTTCAGGGAGAGTAATCAGCAAGAGAGTTAGCCATTACGTTTTGATTGCTTGTGAGATTGGTAAATTTGTATCCTGACTGTATGTTGTTAAAAAGAAATGGGTCTATTAGATGATTATTTTCTCATTTAGGGTGCTACAGCCCTTTGTGTGTCTCAGAAAGTGTGACTTGAAACCTTACTCTTTCCTTGATGAATTTGAAAGAAAATAACTGCAACCGTTACAACTGTATGAGCGCAAAGTATCTGAATTAGATAATTTGTGATAAAAATGCTAAAGTAATATTTTTGAAAGAACTTACTACTTTTCATATGTGCAAACTTACCATTATATTGCCTTTACTCAGTTATCTAGGTAAGCTTAATAGAAAATTGTATGTGAAGATGTAACTCAAGTGTTTGGTGGCAAGAACATACTGTTATAATTTAATAACACTGATTTCTAATGCTAATTGTATTTCCAAAAGTATGAATATGTAAAGTAAATCTGAAATGAGCATAAAAAAAGTAATGTCCTCTTCCTTTGTTTTATTACAGTCAGAGACTAGAAATGAAAGCACAAGTTGCAGATGCATTTATAGCAAAATTCCAACTGACAGCAGATGAAATGAACCTCCTTCGAGGCACAAAAGATGAGCCAATTACTGAGGTATCTCAATGAATATTAAAAGCTTTGCCCTGAACTAAAATGTAGAATCATCCTAGCTGAATTGTACATGAGATCTTATTATCAGTTTGTAGTTTAATTTCTTATAGAGGAGCTTACCTTTTAACAGAATGGTGAGTTTCTGATGAGTTGGAAATGTGTCATGAAAGATTCAAGGAACAAGAAAGAAAATCAACATTAAATTCTAGTTTATATGATGAGTTAAAGAGGCAAATGAGTTATCGTATGGTTCTTCATTTCAAAAAGACCTTTATGAACTCTGAATTTTAAGTGAAAATGTTTTAAAACTTCATCATATTAAAATAAAGCAAATGAGAAATTTGCAGCACTTCACCTTTGTGCCTGTGTGCATTTTGCATATGGTTGATGAAGATGTTATGTGCTGATTCATTTTTAGGCACCTTCCAAAACAAGTTTTTGAGTGTTTATGGTTTTAATAGAAAGGCATATTGTTCTGCACTAAAAGCAGAAACTGAATAACCAGAGAACTGAGTGCACCTAACAGATTTTTATTATTGTAGTTGCATAGAAACCTTCACTTAAATGTAGGCTACCTGCTGAGACATACTATCTTGTTCCACAGGCATCCTGTCTGTAGTTGCAGTTATAGCATTATTAAAGACATGGAACAGATAACCATAAACAGTGCTAATGAAAGCATAAACGGAATGTGTTAAATGATTGTGCACTTGAGTAATTGCTGTGTGCTTTTGTGCCAGCTACTACTGTGAAAGAGCATTCAGGTTTCTAAAAACACATGTTGCAGGGAACAATGACAGCAATGCTGTGCCATTTATTCAGTGCTCAGCTTGCAGCAGAATGAGGATTAGTCCTTTGATACTTTGATCTGTCTAAAAAATGTGCAGATGTAACAGAGATACAGTCATAGTTGTGCTACTGAAATGGCAGACTTCAGTAAAATCGTGTGTGTGCATTTTCCCTATGATAGAATCAACCAGCGTGCTTAAAACATTTTTAGTCAGGCTTCTTTTGGCAGTTTTTTAAAGTTTGGTTTGTTTTGTTTTGGTTTTTATTTTTCCCTGAAGGAAGAAGGATTTGGGTTTTAATAAACATTATCTTCAACACACTTGATGCAAGGCAGTAGGTTCAGTCAGTATCCTACTTCACTTAAAATGTATATATTTTTATGTGACTTATGCCGGAATAAAACTCTACTTTCCTGAGGCAAACTGTGTTCAAATCACAGAAGATATAACAGTTATATCTGCATTAACTAGTCCCCTCCATGATGTCTGAAAGATGTCTTCATTGTAAGACATATGTTTGAAAATGTTAGTGGATTTTTCCATTTGCTCATATGTCTGTGTCTTTTAGGGTATTTCTTTTTTCTTCACTGCTGCTGCTGAGTTATACAGGGAGGGAAGATTGTCCTGAAAAAACTTGGTTTACTCTACTGCAAATGTTTTCTTTTTCTTAGAAATTGTTACCCCATTATATTAAAACAAAAAAAATCAACCTGTAGTCCTTGTACTTTAAAGAGCAAACTGAAACATGATAGTTGCTAACATTAATGGGGAGAAGATGATGGAATGCATAGTAATGTCCTCAGAATCTCCCTGAAGTGTTAACTAATAAATGTAAAATACGCACACGCTATGTAAAAGACAGGTTAAAAACACATCTTTGCTGCTATTGTTACTTTTTGGGGTTTTGTCGAAGAAAAGCATGATACAACAGGAAAGAAAAAATTCCAAAGGCTTTTAAGGTGGAATGAAAAATGAGGAGTGGCAAAGGGGGGCTTGTATTTTAAAAGCAGCACTTGGTACACAGACCTGTAAGGAATGTAAGTATGGAATTGAAATGGGGAGTATAGAGTGCTAGAGATCTGGCTAAGAAGCTAATGCTTTTGAACTCTGCTTTTCTTTTTATTTATTTATTATTGATTTAGGATTTTTTCAAGGCTTTGGGAAGAGTAAAGCAAATTCATGATGATGTCAAGATTCTCCTCCGGACAAATCAGCAAAGGGCAGGGTGAGTGCCACATAAATGAGTGTAAGATAACCATTTACTAGTTAAAAGCAGAAGTTACAGCAAGGTTATATTCTTTACTTTCTATGACTATAGAGAGTATTGCACAAAACACTGAAGAATAGTAGTATCTTTTAAAATTTTCATTATTTTAATAATGGTGTATTTGATTTGCACATGTCTTTGCTAGTACTATCTAAAGTAGTACTTGCAAATAAAATCTTTCTGTCTTGTAGTTTGGAAATTATGGAACAGATGGCTTTACTGCAAGAGACATCTTACGAGCGACTTTACAGATGGACTCAAAGTAGGACTAAATGTTTTTATGTTTATGAAAATTATTATGATGATTCCTTTAATTTCTTCATGTGGATTGAACTCAGCAAAAACTCTTTCCAAGATTCATTAACAAGGCTTTGGGTTTCCTTCTTAGTGAAAGATCTGTTGTGAATAAAATAGTTAATTGGAGAGTCTCTCCTTTTTGGGGCTAATCTCATCTCTGTTAGTAAAAGTCTATTATTTGTATTTTTAGATGGTTTTCCACAGAGAACAGCAACTACAGTTTGGTAGTCTAACCAAATTGTTAAGTGTGTGGCATTTCATTTTCTTGCAGGTTTCAGGGACATTTTCAGTTTTGACAATCCGGTAGTAAGATCGAGTTTAGTAGGAGGAGTAGGTTATTATCTTTAAAAAAGAAAAAAACTCAACACAACCATGTTTTATAAGGATGCTCTTTTGCATGATAGTAGGTGATTATTTTTTTTGCATGGATCCAAGCATCAGTGTTTGATATTACATCTTGATAGTGTAAAATGTAGATGCTTTTTTGTTAGTTCTCTGTACCTGTACCTTGACAGGAAGATTTGTTGGAAAAAAAAATTATGCTGCAGTGCGATACTGTATTCATTAGCTGTTGTTCAGTGCATGCTGAAACCTCAGATAATGGTTGTGGTTGCACCTTAATGATAAGTCAGTGAATTTTATGCTGATGTTTGATTTAGTTTGCGTGATTTCTACATTCCTGCATGGAATGTACAAGATTATAAAGTTAATGTGATTAAAGTAAAAAATACCAAAACCAAACAAAAAAGAAACAAACAAAAAATCCCAACAACAAAAAACTTGCAAACAGACACCAATAAAAATACCCAATCAAAACAAACCCACAGCTTGCTTAAATAATCGCTCCTTTTTTTCTTAATAGTTTATCTTGAATGTAGTAAACAGTTATAAAGGAGCCTGACAGAATTCTGATGGCTGAATGGTTTAACATTTGCAAGTGGGGGTGCAAATAGATATTAAGCTTCCTTTAATATTTATTCTTGTTGAAATTTATGATGGACATCCATTTTGCAGTGAAGTATTGCTTTATGCTTTATTGCTAATTTAGTTACATTAACACAAAGTAGGCCAGGTAGCATATTCTGAAGGCTTCAATTCAAAATCAAAAATAGACTCTTGAGTTTTTAACTGATTTTTGTGTTTGACAACTTGTTATAAAAGGTCTTACAGTGTAAAGAATGCGCTTTTATCTGTGTTGGTATTTTATAGATGAATGCAGGACTTTGACACAAGAATCATGTGACATTTCTCCAGTGCTCGCTCAAGCCATGGAAGCTTTAAAAGATAGACCTGTCCTGTATAAGTAAGTAAATGTTCACTATTATCTCTAACAGAAAGGAGTATTTCCAGCCCATAAAATTTAAAGATGGGCATGAATTACAGTGCCAAGGATGGTGACAATATAGTCCTGTGGCAGATATTTTTTAAAAATAAAAATATAAAAAAATGATGGTTCAACTCCTTTAAATTTCAGGAGTCTGACATAATTATGGTACAGTAAATGTCACTGGGCTTTTTCCAACTTAATGGTTTCTAATTAAAGTAAAATGTCAGACTGTTTTTATTTAAGGGAATTTTGAATTTCTGCTGCTGTCATTGTAGGGTTTTTCTGAAGAAAAAAAAAAAAAAGCTGTCCAAAGCATGTGATTGTCTCATTTACATACCCAAAGATTAAAATTGATAAAGGCTAAATTAGCTTTTACTGAAATTCTTCTGGTAGTAAGAATGTTTTCCATTATGAGTTGCACAGTAACCTATTAAAAAAAATCTATTGCATATGGGCATATAAAGCATAGGGGTGCATACATATATATATGTGTATATATATATATATATATATATGTAAAAACCACAATTTGCTGAAGGGACTTAGTAGAGACAACTAAACCACGAGGTGGCAGTGTAAGAACTACTTTTATTTGGGGTGACTGTAGCTGAAGAGGTACTTCCACTTCTTTGCTTTTTAGGGTTTTGTTTTGAAAACTGCATTCATCACATTTTGCAGCTATTGCAAATTACTTTCAGCCACAGGCATCCAGGACAGCAGAATCCTTAGGTGATTTGTCAAAGGCTAGCCTTGTCTTTAAGAGTGTGAAATGTGCAAAGGTGTGACAGTGTAAACCTCCATGGAGCTCTTCATGGGGAAAATGCATAGCGCAAGTGGACCTTAAAAATAGTGTCAGTATGCGAGAGAATGCACATCTTGACATGCTCAGTCAGTTCTGCTGATTGATGTGAGGGAGGTGGTGTCACTTGACCTCCCCAGCTACTACATGTGGTGATTGCAGTGCGTTGTGTCATAGCTGCGGACCACGGAGTCCTTTCTTGCTTTGTGCCCTCCAGGCCCTCATTCACAGCTGCAAGGGATCAATCACAACTGTGTTCACAGCATTTTATAGGGGCATTTATGGAAACAGTTTTATTTTTCTGGAAATACTTATTTTGTTAAATTATGTTACTTGCAAACTTCATAAAACCATTATTTTGATTTCTGAACATTTAGGGGGAAAAAAACCCAAATATATTCTGTATAAATCCACAACTGTCCAGGTTAAAATGAATCTGAAAAAGAGACTTTATTTGTCTTCTGACACCTCTCTGACTATCAGCAGTACTAGTGTTACCGAAGGTAGCCCTTGGTAGGTAGAACTTCTCTCTTGCCTAAAGTGCGAAATTAAACATTACTGTAGAAGATGTAGCAATATGTCTCTCATCATAGATTATTGTGCAAAACTACTTTGCTACAGAAGTATTGTGAAAATTGCAATACTGATGCTTTAAGATTTAATTTATTGCATTCCAAAAATTTTTGTATACCTTCAGTACATAACAGAGTTTAAAATGTAAAAATTATGTCATACAAGAAAGTATTTAAATTGTTGTATCAGCATTGCTGTGATTTCTCTAGATCATTGCCCTTGCATCTGATAAAGATTGTGATTTGATTGGGTGAAAGTGAGTGAGATGGAGGAGGCAGGAGTTTAGAAACAAAGCTACAAATTCTTGTTTTCTTATATGGACTTATGTCTTGTTAACTTAGGATGGCAGAAAGGTTGTGCCATGGATGGACTTTTGGGAACTGCAGTCACTAGGGATGTGAAATAAGCATTTCAGTTTGTTTTCCTCTTCCTGGTTGTAACACAAAACTGTTTCATAGGAAATACATCATAGCTCAAAGCAGTGTTCTCTTCCATCATCCACTCTGGTTTTCAGAGCTTTTACTTCATCTTCTTCCTCTCCCCCCAGCGATCATTGCTTTACTGGGATTTTAAAAATTGAAGCTGGGTTGAAAAAAATCCAAATGTTAACAAGTGTAAATTCAGTTATTACTGAATTTTTTAAGATGCAGGATTTTGTAATATTTGTACCCTGTTCTACTGAGAGCAAAACAAAGACTAGTAGTTTTCTTTTTAAAACAAAATTATCATTATTATATGTTGTTTTCAAATCTAATAACAAGAACCCAAGATCTGTTTTGCTGCTGTATTTTTAATGTTTTATTATATTGCTGTTTATGAAAGAGGAAAAAAGAAAAGCTTATCTGGTTTCTACGAACACTTGAGATTTTTCACTGCACTGCTGCTACTCCTGGTCTGTGAGTAGTTGGCAGCTCCCAGATCATTCCCACTTTTAATTGCATAATTTTTGTAAATAGCAATTTATTAAAGACTTTCATTAGACTTCTTTTTTTAACTTAGCTATTTACTCTCTGAGTTAACAAGTACAGTGTATGAAGGATTTAAACAGAAATTTGTGGATTCTTCAGTGTGCTCCCCCCCCCCCCCAAATAGTAATGTTGATTAAAAAGAGTGAAAGTGAAGGATCCCTATGACTTCTTATAGCATAATAGAAATCTAATAGAACTTGTTACCTATTTAAAAGAGTATACTATTTTCTTTTGGGTTTTGGTTGGGGCTTTTTTGTTTGTTTGTTTTGTTTTTGTTTTCCACATCTGTTAATTGTGAATGCAGTACTCATTTAACTTTAGTCAGTGAGTAACATGCTTTTTGTTATTATTTTTCTATCTGTTCAGCTGCTGGGTGTCATTGGTGAGTGACACCATGCTTATTCTTTGGCATTTATATTGGAAAAATAAACTGTCATGAGTATTTTCTTTTTCTCCTTTGTAATTTATGTGTTTTGTTCAAAATGCTTAAATTTGTTTTTGAAGAAGTGCTACGTGGCTTGCAGAAATCCTGTTTCTAAGCAGCAGTAGCAGGGATGTTAGCAGTGCTCAGTTCCCATCCTTTGTTTGCTATCATGCATCAGCCCCAGTAGGAAGGTAGCCTGCTCCAAAAAATGAGCTGCATGTATGTTGTTGGTATCTTCTCTACTACCAGAAAGCCATTTGAGATTGTGCACTCTGGGCTGTAATTGTCCATTGATTAAATATCTAAGACTAATTTGATTAAAACCAGTGAACAAGTATTAAATGAAAGTATTTTTTTTGCTACTAATCATGTACACATGTATAAGTGTTTATATGTAGAAAAATGTAAAAGCTGATTTTTCATTTACGTATTTGCGTGAGGTGAGAGAATGGGAGGGTCAAGAAGAAGTTACCTTTAGTATCTTCTTAGATTAGATGGGAAAATCAGATAGTTTTGAATGCTTTATATCAGAAATATTGATGCAAGATTCCTAGAACTATAAAAATGGTTGCTTGTATTAACTGTAAAGTTGAGCTAGTAAACTCTGATAAGGTGAACTGTTTTGTTTTACCCATTTTCATCTTTCAATAACAGGTACACGTTGGATGAGTTTGGAACAGCTAGGAGGAGTGCTGTGGTCCGTGGCTTTATAGATGCTCTCACTAGAGGAGGTCTGAGTGGTACTCCCCGCCCTATTGAAATGCACTCACATGATCCTCTGAGGTACAGTACTAGCAAGAATGTATGTGAAGTAATTCTTCTTTTGCCTGTTGGCATTTCGAATCCCTGACACCATAAACTTCTGATTTAAACAAATTTCTGTTTGTCTTTAGGTACATAGGAGACATGCTGGCCTGGTTGCATCAAGCTACAGCTTCTGAAAAAGAGCACCTAGAAGCTATGTTAAAGCTTGTAACTATTGAAGGTAGTACTAGATTTTAAATCATAAATTGGGAAGTGATAGAAACTTAAGTCTGTGATAAGTCTGTGATTTATCTGTGATAAATTTCTTGGGCTGTGCTACAGTTACGAGAGTGTGAGCTTAGATTTCCTGGGAATAATTTCAGAATAGGTGGTGACTGCAGTTTATCAAAAGAAAACCCTTAACAAAGAAGACTATTTCAAGATGCACTCTTCTCATTTTACTATGCTTGTAACAGATTTACACTAAATTTTCAAAGGGACATTTTAGACTGTAGCTGAGAGTTCAAAAAATTGTCTGTAAAATGTATGAATACATATGTCTCCAAAAACATTGCCGTATAGGGTTGCTTATTGACATGTTGAGTATTCCTATTATGCCTTGCTTATTTGTTCAGTAATTTTGAAAAATAGAATTCCTTCTCTCTGTAATTCTCTTTCTTCTATGCTACAAGTAAAATATAATTTTTTTTTCTGTCATGTGACATCATGTAAAGTTACAGAGGTCAAAGTAGGCTGCTCTGTCAGGGTAGATTCTCCTTTGTCCTGTCACTACATGCCCTTGTAAAAAGTCCCTCTCCAGCTTTCTTATAGGCCCCCTTTAGGTATTGGAAAGCTGTAATAAGGTCTCCCCAGAGACTTCTCTTTTCCAGGCTGAAAAAGCCCTATTCTCTCAGCTTGTCTTCGTAGGAGGAGTGCTTCAGCCCTCTGATCATCTTCATGGCCCTCCTTTAGCCTTGCTCAAGCAAGTTCATGTCCCTCTTGTGTTGGGAGCCCCAGAGCCAGACACAGTACTGCAGGTCAGGTCTCACAAGAGCAGAGTAAAGGGGCAGGATCACCTCGCTTGACCTGCTGGCCACATTTCTTTTGATGCAGCCCATCATGTAGTTGGCTTTCTGGGCTGTGAGCGCACATTGCCAGGTCATGCTGAGCGTCTCATCAAGCAGTTGGCTTTCCTAATTAACAGTATGAGAAAGGAGACTTTAGGAAATATTGTAAATCTAACTGAAGCAATGTTGAGTTTTATCTACAGTTACACAGAGTACTATAGAAGTGAATTTAATATTGTTTACTGACTGTCTCAGGGAGATGGGAAAGCAGGCCTTGTGATGATTTGATGGTAGAGGAAAAGACATAGACGTACTTTGCAGGTGAATGTCTGATGCTTCTGCTGTAACTGGGGAGTCCTTCAGGACAAGTTGGCCTCCCGTATATGGTTCTGCTGTTGCTTGGGCTACTGCTGCTGCCTAGGCCTTCATTCTATTATGAAATTTTTCTACCTTTTCATGCAGTGATTTATTTAGCTATTAAATCCCTTGTACTTCTGTCAGGGCATTAGTCTGAGATGCTATGACCATGTAATTAGATGTATGAAGAGCATTTCAGTCATAGATCAGAGTAAATTACTTCAGAATCCAGAGCATATAAACGTTTTGAGGATTTTTTTTTTTTTTTTTTTTTAAATCACCAGGTCAGAACTTTTTTTCCCAAGAGATGAGTAGGAACAAGAGATTCAGTATTCCTGTCTGAAGGAAAAATATGTTTTCCTAAGCTGTCCAGGAATGGGTTTGCCATCACTGATGTACAGTTCTGAAGAAATGTAAAAAAGGATTCTTAGCTTCATACTGGAAGCAGCAAAGCCTGGGAGGTGCTGTCTGTTAACTATACCTCTGCATCTTTGGGAGATTTGTTTTGATGACAAGGATGATTATGCAATAAGATCTGCAAGACAAAGCAGTACTTAATGGGATACCTCTAGATTTAATAAGAAATATTTAATAGGAACTGTAGCTGGATGAAGTACCTTGAGATTATATGCTTTACATAAATACAGATTCTGAGTTTGTAGTGGGTAATCAGTGAGTACAGTGTTTCTAGTACTGAGAGGTTCAAGTTGAATTCCCTGCAGTCTTGAGGTGTCTTCTTGTGCAGGTTCCAAGCAGAGATTGACTTAATTTTACATAACCAGTTTTAAAAGTGGACGTCTTTTTTAATTGCTGTTACAGTTAACAACAGAGATTTGCATTTCCAGAGGGCAGATCTTACCAAAAGTTAGATCTAATGTAGGCATTTCTGGAGGCTTTCACCTCAATTGTTTGGGGGTTTTTCTTCCATTCCCTATAGAGGAAGCCCAAGCAACTGCTATAGATAAGACACCTAACCAGGGTTCTAAAGTTAGGTTAGTCAAATGTTTTAACTTTAATTTCAACCTGAGTAGCTTTTTGCAGATGGTACTGATTTTTTTTTTTATTTTAATTCAGGGGTGAAGTAAAGATGGATTTGGTCTTAGTGGAAGAAAAACTGTGTGAATGCCACATTGCTGAAGAAGTGTTCCTATCCCAGTTTTTACTTTAAAAGAGAGCAAACTATGTAGCCCATAATTGAGTATTCACAAATACCTTTTAAAAAGTTTTAAAATGTTGAACTTTCAAATGTTAACTTTTTAAAATTAATCTGACCAAAAATGCTATTAAAATTTTAAGCACTGAAAACAAATTCAGAGAAGTTTAACTATTTAGCATTATATTGGACAAGCATAAAGCATCTGGTTCTCTTCTTTGGAGCTTGGGTGTTCTGCTGACAGGAGCCTTCTAGTCTTACAGAGATCTTGCACTTGGAAGGAAGAATTTCAGGCATTCTATTTAAGGGATGCAGTAGAAACCCATTTTTTTTCATGGAGTTATAGGAACCCAACTGGAGAGCAGAAGCCAAGCAAAGTCCAAGAAAGATATCTCTCTTACAGAAGGGTACACAAACATGTAGGATACACAAATGGTGTAGCAGGCAGGCAGAAGCAGAACTTCAGTAATGAACTGTTTTCTAAAAGTGATTTTGGGTCTCTAAGAGTTGTTTATTCCATAATTCCTTTCTGTCAGTGTGGCATACTGAAACTTGCAAGAGTTACATAACCCATTGTGATGGAAGATTTCTTCTTACTGTTTGCTGAATCTAAAATACTCTAATGGGACATGAAAATACGTGTGAAGGCACAAGAATGCGATATATAAAGGTTCCATGTCCTTTGGTATTTGAACTTTCAGCTAGAACTTTCATACACAACTTGTTGTTACATCAATCTGGTCTAGATACACTAATGCAAATATGTGCTAGGTGCTTGTTATATTGATGAACAGTGAAAGTGTGACTGTTCCTAGTAAAAAAAAAGTGTAAATTGCTAGGGTGTATCTGGCTGTTGCATAACAGACCATACGTCTTGTGGTTTGTCATCTTGGTTTCTGTCTTGATATCAATACTTGAATAGATAAACATATTTTTATTACCTTGCCAATTTAATATGCTGGAATACTGACAGCCACCACACTGAAATCAGTTGTTACGTGGCTTTTGACATAGCTTGGTGTAAAGGGCTATTGGCAAAGATCTCTGATAATTTTTACTCTCAGAGGTAATCTCTTTTAGTCTGTAATAAGATCTGTAAAATATAGCTTCAGGTCACCTGATTTCTATCACATGTCACAGTCAGTTTGTTTACTGTTCATTGCATGGGTCCCATCTGAAGATGAACTCCTGTTGACAAGTTTTAAATTAGAATTAAAGTATTGCTTTCTCCATAAATCTATTCTGAGTTGTTACTGAAGTGAGAGCTTGAAGATCTGTTGCTTTCAGTTTGATTGATTTATGACAGTACTCGTTGCCATGCAACAATTCATTTGTGTTCCACGGTAAGTTAGGACAATATTCTCTTTTGTATATAGTTCTGTAAAAGATGAGTTTCAGTTGCTGCTGGGGAGGAAGCATTTGCTAATGCTGCAGCACGTGGTAGTATGGAGGTACATATGTCGTTTAATTGATAACAATGCCATGAGCACGTCAGCACTGAATGCCGACAGACACGTGTATTTATGGTTCAGACCTTTCAAAATGGGTTTGTACTGTTGCTCCTTGAGCATCTCACTGGCCTTTTTTTTTTTTTTTCCCCTCTTTAATCTCGGGAAGTGCTAATATTGAACGTTACTCTGACAGTTTCTTGCGAGATCATTTTTGATTTTCCTGGCTTCTTCTTCCTCAAATCACCAGGCACTATGCTGTGCTAGAAAGCAGTTATATAGCATAAGGTAATGACTCTTCAGGACTCTGTTTTGTCATGCAGCTATTTCTTAATGGTTAGATTTGAAGTTCAGTGGAGGTGTGAACTAGTGGAGGAAAAAAACATGCAGTTCATAATGCTTTTTATGGAGGAGTAGCTTCTACATTTATTTGTTTTATAGTCTTGAAGAAAAGAGAATTACATTTGCATAATTTTAGTATGTGTTTACATTAACTGTAGGTGTGGAAGAAAATATTCAAGAAGTAGTTGGACACATCACAGAAGGTGTCTGCAGGCCTCTGAAGGTGAAGTATTTTGTTTTCTTAGCATTCTGAACATGAAAAATGTTGTGTTGTGGTTTTTTTTCTAGAACCTGTGTCCCCATCTCTGCAGTGTATTTTCAGTACTCTTGGTTAAGCATTAGATTTTCATCTAATTAGATTCTCATCTAATAAAGAAACATAAAGGCCTCCAAAATTAAAGACTGTGTAATTCATAGATACCTGGATTAACTAGCCATATAGTGAGAGATACTAGGATACTAAGTCTGTATCTTGATTTTGTTTTCTTTTTCCTAAGTTTGGGAATGCTTACATATAAAAGATTGGTTTTGGGATAAGTCAATAGAAATGGCAGTAGTGGGTCAAATGAAATGTCTGTCTGATTTACTACCCTGTTTTTCATAGCAACTATTATGTTTAGGGAAAAGTGTACAGGCTACACAGGTGTGTCATGATACTTTGGTAGAATAGTTTCCTCGCCTGTTTGTGGGCTTCTAAAGATTCACCGAACCATAGCTACTGTGTTTGTATTTAATAGACCTCAGCAGATTTTTCCTGCATGAATACGTCAAGTTGATACAAAATGTTGGTATTCATAACATATCCTCCGGGAGGAAAGTGCACATTTTAACTCTGTGGAAAGCCAACTCACTTTGGTTTTGTTTTATTTAACAACTCCAGCTCTTGTATTGAAAGAGACCATGAAAAATGTTTCCTACTTGCAATATTCATGCTGCCTTGGCTTGCTATATTTCTATCACATCCCTCCACAGTTGTCGTTTTTTAAGTTACAACATTAGAATAGGCCCGTTTGTCTTTTTTTAAGTTACAACCTTAGAATAGGCCCATTTGATAGAAATCCTTAATAATGATTTCCATCAAATGATAGACTGTCTTATTTATTGAATGTGCTTCATGTAAGCACAAAATAAAATACTCAAGGTGAAGCTGATACCAGTAATTGTCTGACCATGCGGCACATAAATCAAAGTGGTTTTGAAGTAAAATCTACTCTACTAAATACTATTACAATAAATTTCTCATAGGATGCTGTAGCTATAACAACCGTGTCCAGCTGTCAAATACTTAGTCTCAAATGTTAATAGGTAAGTTCTGAATACTCTATGTAAGTTCTTGGTAAGAAGAAAGTGCCATTTAGAATGTCACAGGATCACAGAAGGGTTGAGGTTGGAAGGGACTTCTGGAGGTCATGTGGTGCAAACTCCCTGCTCCAGCCAGGCCACCCAGAGCTGGTCATCCAGGACTTTGTCTAGACTGGTTTTGAACTCCACAGCCTTTCTGGGCAACTTGCATCAGTGTTCTTTCACCCCCACAGTAAAAGAAGAATTTCCTGATGTTCAGACAGAGCCTCCTGTGTTTCAGTTTGTGCCTGTTGCCATGTAATTGTGGTTGTCCTTCAGAGCTTTTAGGTTTTGACCTGTTGAAAACCACCCATCATAGACTCATAGAATCATAGAACAGTTAGGGTTGGAAAGGACCTTAAGATCATCTAGTTCCAACCCCCCTGCCATGGGCAGGGACACCGCACCCTAAAACAAGCCACCCAAGGCTCTGTCCAACCTGGCCTGGAACACTGCCAGGGATGGAGCATTCACAACTTCTCTGGGCAGCCCATTCCAGTGCCTCATCACCCTCACAGGAAAGAACTTCTTCCTTATATCCAATCTAAACTTATCCTGTTTAAGTTTTAACCCATTACCCCTTGTCCTGTCACTACAGTCCCTAATGAAGAGTCCCACCCCAGCATCCCTATAGGCCCCCTTCAGATATTGGAAGGCTGCTATGAGGTCTCCACGCAGCCTTCTCTTCTCCAGGCTGAACAGCCCCAACTTCCTCAGCCTGGCTTCATCTGGGAGGTGCTCCAGTCCCCTGATCATCCTCATGGCCTCCTCTGGACTTGTTCCAGCAGTTCCATGTCCTTTTTATGTTGAGGACACCACAACTGCACACAATACTGCAAGTGATCTCTCATGAGAGCAGAGTAGAGGGGCAGGATCACCTCCTTTGACCTGCTGGTCACGCTCCTTTTGATGCAGCCCAGGTTGGCCTTCTGGGCTGCACACTGAAGCCGGCTCATGTTCATTTTCTCATCAACCAACACCCCCAAGTCCTTCTCCACAGGGCTGCTCTGAATCTCTTCTTTGCCCAACCTGTAGCTGTGCCTGGGATTGCTCTGACCCAGCTGTAGGACCTTGCACTTGTCATGGTTAAACTTCATGAGGTTGGCATCAGCCCACCTCACAAGCGTGTCAGGGTCCCTCTGGATGGCATTCCTTCCCTCCAGGGTATCAACCAAACCGCACAGCTTGGTGTCACCGGCAAATTTGCTGAGGGCGCACTCAATCCCACTGTCCATGTCAGCAACAAAGATGTTGAAGAAGACTGGTCCCAACACCGATCCCTGAAGGACTCCACTCGTTACTGGTCTCCAGCAGGACATTGAGCCATTGACCACAACTCTTTGCTTGCAGCCATCCAGCCAGTTCTTTATCCACCGAGTCATATCAGACGAACAAAATATTATCACAGGTTGCTTTTTTTTTTTTTTTTTTTTAAGATATTTACCAGGTTTTCTGTGGTCTGTTAGTGCTGAATGCTGATGTCTGAGTTCAGTATTTCTGTGTGTTCCAACAAAGTAATTAGGGATAGAATCAAACCTTTGTTTAAATCAGGGAGTTTTAGTCTTGATTTGCGTACTTGTGGTGTGTACAGTTTGGTACAAAATACCTTCCATTTTGATGGCCAAACTCTTTACACTGATGTGCTTCTGCTGTCCATAGAAATATCCCCTGAAATGTTGTTGGTAGTTAGTTACTGTACTAGTAAAAATGAAAAAAACTGAAAGAGCAATTAAAAAGTTCTCATTATATTCTGTATTTAAAGAGAATGCAACTTGTATTAATTCACTGCCAGTCTAGACTTCCCAAAATAAAATAGGCAGTACTTACAGTTTCTCCTGTGAAAATGTTTCATAAGGGAAAAAGCAGAAAAAAAAACCCAAGCAGAGAAGCCTTCATACAGTGCAGTTAGATAATTGCAAGCCGTCATGTTAAGAGGAAAAGCAAAAATAGACTCACTTTGGAGAAGTGTTTTCTACAATACATTGCTCTGAAGATTGTCCACTGTAAGAAAAATAACTACATTAATTTCAGGGAAAGCACTCTTTCTTGTAGTTGTGTGGCACCACAGTATATTGCTTTTCTAGTGGATTTCTGCTGATGTTTGCAAACCTGTCACTTTGATTTGAATTGATGTTGAAGTATAAAATAATCTGATAAAAGCCTAGTTGTAGAATTTCCATGAGGACTTTTAAATACTTAAAGAGTTATTCAGAATTTTTTTACTGGTTTATGCTTTTCCATGTGAATGTACTGTTTGAAGCAGTTCTCTTACTTTCGAAGAAGGGTTATGCTTATATGCAGTACAAATTATCCACATTTCTTACTGATAGTTGCTTTGAGTTTTAGGCATCCAAGTGAATCTTGAGTACTCAGTAGTGGTATATTTTACCACAGGACTTTCTCTTCAGAAGGAAGATGAGGTCAAACTAAGACAATGTTTTTGATGTGTTATATAGACTTTACCTAATCTTTTATGGTCAACTGACTACAGGATGCATAGGATTAAGAAACAGTAAGAACTTCTAAGTCCAGGACTTCCCTGAGCAGATTAGGTTGAGTCACTTGCAAATTTTGATTCTCCTTTTCAGTAAAGACTTCTGTATGGGAAGCAACAATGCTTCTTTTCCTGCTTTGCTTTTTTTTTTTTTCTTTTAATTCTCATTTTTGTCTCCTAACTCCAAAATCTTTTGTATGTTATTCCTCTTTCTGTCTATTCTGTCTTTATCTTTTTTTTTATTATTTTCTTTATTGCTTTTGCTTTCTTTTTTTGGGGGGGGGGGGTGTTCAATATTTTGATTTTCCTCTTTTTCCCTTGACTATACTTGGCACTCCTGCCCAAATGACCTTTTATGCAACACTGGAGAGGGGTGTTTGTATATATTCACTTTTGTATATACATACACGTTGAAGAGCAAACTTCACGTAAGTGTTGAAATCAACTTTGTGCATTGAGCATTGTGAATGACTGTCAAAAGTTATTCTTTGTTGTTGGTCTCTGACTTAGATGCAAAGGGAGGGGATTGAGGAAGTCATGATGTTAGCTAATTCTTCCTGCAGCTGGCTCTGACATGAAGGCACTGCTGCACATCGCATTCCATTGAACAGCAGACAGATAAATTTGGAGGGTGGGTGGCAGCTGGTGATTTTGTGTGTAGGCCTTTCAGACACAGGCACATGGGAAAACAGTGCAGTGGTAAGTCACTGTCTGTCGCTGCTTCATAAGTGCCCAAAGATTGACCTTGGGGGCAGCCTTTTATGAGTGGATTGGGAGTGTGTGTACCATGGAGACAAGACATCAACTGTTCAACTTGGAAGAGAGCACTGTTTTGGTCTGTGTAGCCAGCATCTCCTAGTTGAGATAATCAGTCAACATAGCTGGTTATTAGTTATATCTTATAAAATACTGGTAGGAGGTATGTAATCTCTCCTTCAAGTGAAGGGGAAACTAATCCAAGTGAAATTGTCTTTTGGGTAAAATACCTAGTGCTTTGCATGTTCTGACTTGCTGCATGATGCTAATGATCAACTGTTGTAGTTTAGGGATTTTGCAGCTTTGCAGCTGTTCTTGCTATTAAGTGCTGGGGAGAATTCCAGTATGTACTGGTATTCTAGTCTATCAGATCATCTCTTTATTTTGAGATTTTCAATAATGAGTTGCAACAGCAAGGTATTGGTAAACAGGATTTATTTTTTTTTAGAATATATACATCTGCTGGTTTTCTACGCAGAGGCTTGGCAACCAAGAAGCATTTTGGTTCAAGGAGAATGTTGCCATTAAGTTGACATTCTCTTCTTAAATTTATTCCTGTTTTTTTTTTTTTCAAAAAAGAGACATATTGCATGTAAAATCATAGACATTGGCTTTTGAAATGTATGACCTGAAGGAAGTTTGTATTTCTTTATTCTGCAGGTTAGAATTGAGCAGGTCATTGTTGCTGAGCCAGGAGCAGTTTTACTGTACAAGATTTCTAATCTTCTCAAGTTCTATCACCATACAATCAGGTATGCATAATTACAAAGCATGTTTAAAGATGCCTTTTTTTTTATTGTTTGTATAAAGATTAAAGTAAAAATAGTATTTTGTGGCTTAGTTCCTGCTCTGTACTATGGAATCAAGAAGAAACGTGCATGATGTCAAGCAGATGCCATATACCTGTTGTCATTCCTCATTTGTATCAGATCTTCTTTGGAAAATAGCACCAATTTGCCGCAGAAACTTTCCTTATTGTTCTGTGTGGATACAGATAGTATACAAAAAACCTATATAAAACATTTAAGAAGACAAAATCAAGTCCTTTTTGAGAAAATGTTAGAATTGAATTGTCTCTAGAACTTCAAGTTTTCTTCCTTAAACTATTCTGTTTTGATACATTTTTCCTAAATGCACTTCTGTCTGAAGAGGTATCTAGATGTTGGGCAGATTGGTTTAAGTGGTTCTTGTGCACCTCCCACCGTATTTAAAATCCTCTATGATGGCATTGCAGATCTGTGGTATAATGCTTGTAAGACCTAATCTTATTGTAAAAAAAAAAAAAAGTTTTTTTTTCTGTCTCCAAAGTTAGTGTTACCCAACTTCTGGATGCAGTTGAAAATGTGATGTTAAAATGAAAGGTCTGTTGCATTCAGTCTTAATATTACGTTAAAGACCATCGAAGTACCTTCAGTGAAATAATTTCCTCTGCCTAGAGGAAGTGCACCTGAAGGGAAAAACGCAGTTTTCTAGAGAAATGATATATTAAGTGCAACAAGACTATATTCTGGAAATCAAGATACTGGTTTAACTTAGTCCTATTATGATGCTGTGAATTTTCACTGCCATTTTTGTAACTCAGAAGGATTTTTATTTTAGACAGAAGGTGTATCTAAAAGAAGCATGGTCAGGTAGTGTCGTTAAAGGTTTGTGTGGTATTTGTGTTTATTGTAATAGCTTGACAGTGAATAGAAAGGCATGAATTCTTGTATTTTTGGATTCATCATGATGAAGAAAGAAGAAAGATGATGCTATCCCTAACAGACCGTATGACAGACTAGTTAACCATCCTTTTTGTTTATGTAATCTTTTTTCTATAACGTAAATAGATTTACAGAGTAACAAAACATAAATCCAGTAAATTTTACTAAAAAGGTTGTGCAGAGTTTTAGATAGCCTGTACTTAATATCTGCTTAATGACATAGTTGATAATGCTTGTTCTCAGAGTCATCTTATGACTGAATCTCTCTGCTAATATGAAGAACTGTTCACTGCAATTATTTGTTGTAAATTTTCAACTTTGAGAATAGTTGGATTTGAAATGCACTCTGAAGTATCTGACCTTGTCATGTTTGCCCCACCTTCACGTTATTTAATTAATCTTAATTTTGTTTCCAGTGGTATTGTAGGAAACAGTGCAGCCACACTGTTGACAACAATTGAAGAAATGCATTTGTTGAGCAAGAAAATATTCTTTAATAGCTTGAGTCTTCATGCAAGTAAACTAATGGACAAGGTTTGTTTCAAAATCATACAGCTTTCATGTTTCAAAATACACTTCATTTCCCTTTCATCTAGTAAGATTATTAGACAAATAGTTGTTTCATATGCCAGCTTTTCTAAAACTGAAGTTTTGTGGTTTATATGTTTTAGCTATGAAATTATATTAAAAATACAGTTTAATTGTTTTAATAGTTTGATTAAAAAAAAAATGGCAGAACTCCTCTTGTTAGGAGTATTTGTTTACAGAGCAGTTTACATATTTTTAAAATCTATGAGAAGAAATAACATCAGGAAATTTCCCTAAGTGCAATAGAGCAAAGTCAGCTGATTGATCTAGATAATTTGTATTAATGCCTCATCAGATCAGTAGTTAATTACTCGTGCATAATTCCTTTCTTGAAGTTAAGCAGTATATCCCAAGAGGGTGTGCTAAGTAAAAACAAAACTTGTTTTTTTTCTGTCCTTTGTAGAAATAGTTTTGCCACATGAGCATTGCTGCTGTTGAAAGCAGAATGTACATTTGTTATACCAAACAGTTGTACCTAATTCAGCATCACTTTCCTGGTATCTTCCTTTTCTGCTGATTGCTTTCAATTATGTTTCAGTGAACTTCCGATTGTTCAGTAACAAAGACAGTTCTTTCTAATTTCTCCCTGCTGTATTTGTATCATGTTGCTGTTGGTGGAGCTATACATGAAGTCTCACCTTGATAAAATCTAAGCAAAGACAAAGAAAACTGTTAGCCTGCACATCCCTGCACATCTGATCTTCATCCATCATCCCTGTCTGAAATGTGATGTAGCGACAGGACAAAAGGGAATGGCTTTAAACTAAAAGAGGGTAGATTTAGGTTAGAGACTGGAAAAAAATATTTACTAAGAGAGTGGTGAGGCACTGGAACAGATTGCCCAGAGAAGATGTGGCTGCCCCATCCCTGGAAGTGTTCACTGGCCATGCAGTGATGGACTTTAGCAAAAATACATGAGTGCTCTTTACTTACAAAGAATGTGCAGTCAAAGTAGCACTTAAGGAAATAAATTTTCTTGGCTTGAAATTGTAGGACTGCTCTTTATTAATCTCTGTTGTATTTAGCTCTGTTGTATTTATTCTGCTGGGTCTTAGGTCTGTACTCAAACAGGATCCAGAATAATTTTTCTACTTGAATAATACGATCTTCATACTTTTGTTTTGGGTGCTATGCTGTTTTCCCTTTGGAGATGCATAGAAGAAGGGATGATTAAGGAATTGCATTCTCCCAGTTTATAGTGTGTGTTCCTTGTATTATTACTATGGGAAGGTTGTGTAATCCTCCTTGCCCTTAGTTCCACTTCCCTCAACCTCTGGCCTGAATGTAACTGGCTCTAGATGCTGCCATGGTTTTAAAAAGGAGTTGAATTTGGTTTTACTAATGTTAAGGCAGTGATTGCTCTGCCACCTTCAGTGGTGTTTTATTGCAAATAATGAATGGCATACCGAGCCTACCGTGTAATGTAAAAAGATCATAATACTGCTGTTTCTCATAAACACATTTTACAGATTAAATTTGAAGCATAAACATTGCATATATGCCCTATGAAGATCTTTCCTCAGGATATAATTGAGATCAAAAGCTTAAAGAGACTCAGAAGAGGGTTAGATATACAAGTAACTAGGGCATCCACAGTTATTGATTAATCTCTGTGCTTCAGGAATTAACAATGAGGTAACTGTGGCTGAGAGCGAGTCATACTATACAGGTGTGTAGTTCTGTTTTAGACAGTCCTTTGAAGCACCTTATGTTATTATTGTTCATGAGTGGACTAGTGAATTGATAGAGTGATGTCTTATGACTGAAATTAGTTTTACTTCACAAAAATTAATAGGCTGAATTGTACTCAGAGAAACATTAGTTTCCATGAGACAAAGACCCCTTTCAATCATAAATCTAATTTTCTTGTTACTTAGTTTATTGTATGTTAATATACAGATAACCAGCTTTTATGCCTTTTCATGTCTTCATTAACATAGTAGTGAATGTCACAGTGCTTTCACATTTTGAGAAATCTCAAGGTTGCTTTTAACCATCCTTTTTATTAATGTGTGTTCAGACCAAAATTGCATATATGTATTAGTAGGAGTCTCTTCCCATCTAGCCTTTTTACCAGCATTTTGCTAACTGTGTACACACTACAGCTGCTTCCAAAATTACTTTTATTTTCAGAGAAGATTAAAGCACTGGAAAGCAAACTCCTAGTGCTTACATATTGCAAATACTTCCTTGCTGCTCCTGTTACATACAAAGAGAATAGTCACTTGTAAAATTAATAAATTACTTTTCACTTGGACAGTCTGGAAATCATGGTTCCTTATTTCTGCTTCTATTTTGCATCTTAAGGCATTGATAAGCCTGTTTCAAAGAATACCAGTTGTCCTTTACTTGGGTTGCAATATGATTCTTAAGGAAATCTAAGTAACTTTGGAAATAAATGAAAATGTAAATAGGGTGCTCTTAAAGAATATTTTTATTTCTAGAAATGTAAATGCCTCTTTTGTTCAGATCATTGGAAAGTGGTGAATATAGTCTTTGTAAGATGCACCATTTTAGTGATAGCTTTCCCTTCGTATAGTCAGTTGTTGCTGTTAATGTGAAAATCATAAACAAGGAATTCTAAATGGAAATCAGTTCTCCACTTTTTATTCAATTTTAAAGAGAGTTCAAGAGTTTTCTCAATTGCTCAAAAATTCGACAAGACTTAGTCATAATTACCAGTGAATCTGTAACTTGACAGGAGTCTCTTTTAGCCACATGCAAATTCTCTTGTGCTGTAGCATGGGGGGAATGGTCTAGAAACACTGGTATGTTACTGTGTCTTGCTGTGGTATGCATAATTGGCATTTACAGTCTACGTACTGGTTGATAGACCAGAATAGTATTTAAGCAAATCTTTCTCATAAGTATAGCTAGTTGGGAGCTTTTTTTAAAACAAACCAGGTTTCATTAAATACTCTAACTCTTCAAGATCCCTTCCTGTGGATAGAGATGAATGTCAGGATAGTAATCTGACTCTGATGTCCTCATTACCACAGCCAGTTAAATTCCCTCACTTATTAGCATGCTGAGTTAAGCAGTGCCTTCCAACTGCCTGGGAGTTAATTTCTGAAGCACCATGGGAAACTGAGACTTCGCACTCTTTCTCGGACAAGAAAGATTCTCTGTTTTTGAGAAGAGTCCTACATAAGGAGTGTCAGAGGCATGGAGCTATATGGAAACTTAAATAATAACTTTTAGATCAGGATTCTCCCAGTTGGTTGTCAAGCCATCAGTATAAATGATACAGGGAAGTCCCTAGTTGCTTCAGGGTTCTTACTGGCTTGCTTAGAAGCATTTTCCTATGAACAGGGTTTTTTTTTTTCATTACATCAGAAAATCTCAGGCATCCTGAGAGTAAGGTAGTCAGCAATCCTCACAACATTAGACTGTTCTGACTGAGAAACCCTTTTTTGTGGCATTCTCATTCAGATTTCTCAAGTAGCTCTTCAGGATCTGAAATCTGTGGAACAGAGACGTTCAGCACACCGCCTGAAATTAGGTCCCTCATTACTAAAAAAAGGCAATACACAAGGGAGTCTCTTTTGCTGTGGTACTTCTTGAAACCTGTCATGTTAACAGAATCATTGCAAAGCCGCTTTGTTTTCAGAGCTTAAAATGCTGTTTACAGCTTTGAGGTTCTCAGGTCATTGCAGTGTTCGGCGCTGACATCATATAGAAGGTGTGCATCACCAACTTTCTTCTGTGTCACTGAAGGTTCAGTGCCTCAGCTTTTACTGCAAATACTGTATTTCCTTTGTATTTTTGTTCCTTACCCTTCAGAGGCAGTGTTGGGCAGTCTTGCCAGTGCTGCTTAGCTCTGGTAATAATTGATTTGTTCTGGTTGTTGGTTCATCCGGAATATTTTTTTTGCTAATGTTAGTGCCCTTGTGCTGAAAAATCATGTTTGTATTTGTCTCTCTTTAGCTTTCATGGACCTAGCCATGGGCCTACCAGCAATGCTAGTAAAGCAGACCAGAATTCTAGGTTCAATCCTTATCTATCCTTTTATGTTTCCTTTGACCCTGTGCTAATAAATCAAATATTTAGGAATTTGGGATTCTGCTTACATAATTCACTGTTTGATCTAACTAAGAACAGCCTGGTACAGATTACCATTTTACAGGTGATGATAATTCAGGAGAAAACAGTCAATGGAAATAATTACCAGAACAACAGAAAATGTTCCAATGAAACTGGTAGCAAAGGTCAAAGCACCTAATGCACTGGAGTGGGTGGACTGCTCTTTCTGTTCTCTCATATTAGAATTGTCTGTTAAAATCATGAGTCCACTGGTGAGGCATTTTAACAAGCCTATTAGACTAACATAAGCCAGTATGTTTTAGTGGACCAGCTAATACATTAGGAAAGTGGGAATTTTAAAGCACACCTGTCCTTCAGTGTTACTCCAGAACAACTGTAAACATTGAATTAAATGGGATGAGCGTTATCATAAGGGAGCTAAAGAGAGATTACGCCAAACTAAACTGTCATCTGCTGAGCTGTTAGAAGACTGTTAGTAGAGTACCCCAAATGAAGTTTTGGGATTGTTATTCCTTCATGCTTTTCTTTGTAGAGTAAATGTATGCAAATTAAATGCTGTGATTGCATTATCTGTTAATTTTGTCAGTGGGAGAGGTATTAAAACATTACAAGGGAATGACTGTAATCTTCTCCCTAATAATTTGGTTCCTGTTAGAATGAAGCATATTAGGTTTCTGGGAAACCAGATATGGGACAGATTAAATGAGGCTGATGTGATCAGATTGCTGTGATTTTGAATGCATCCATGTGACCAAAGAAGAACTAGCAAGAATCTTTCTGTTGTCTTTTCTTCTAAGACTGACTTGATAGCTGGAAAGCATGCTATTATGCATCCTGCTTTGGTGGTCTCTGAAGTGTCCTAATAATGCTTTAAAGAGCAGCTTCTCTGAAACTTCTCTGGTAGACCTGGGCTCACGTTTCTTACTCTGCTACTGTTTAACTATGGTTGAATGTTGCCTCAGTTTGTAGAGGGAACTCTATAATCAGTTGTAACAGACAGGATGATACATCCAGATACCTTTTTACAAGGTTCCAGGTTTGTAGCACTTTGTCTCCACAACCTGCCAGTGAGGTTTTCCAAGTCTGTATTTTGGGAGAATTCTTTTCATTTTTGTATATTGGATTTTAAAAATTGGGAATTTCTTCTTGTTTTCTTTAAAAGGCTGAAGATATGGTTGGTCTCATTTCTGCATGACTGAACTGCTGATTATAACTGATTAGCCACTTAATACTGGTTTAGAGTAGGTTCTAATGCTGTTGAACTAGCTGCTACAGAACATTATGTTCGATAATTTTTTAGTTAGCTCCTGTCTGGCTTGCATCTGAAGCAGGTACTTCAAAAGTAGAATTCCACATGCATTTCAAGTTTATTTTTCTGGAAATAGAATCAATTATAATAATCTTTTAGTGCACATAAAACATTCAGGTTTTTTTTTTTTTTTGTATTAGAATAGTGATATAGCTCACTTGAAGTTGGTAGGTGCCTCTACAAATTAGGTATATCTGTGTTCAAATTTTCCTCTTTACTCCTGAAAAAAATCTATATTAATGTGCCAAAAGTTAGAATTTTCAAAATGAATATAGCACAGCTTTAATTTTCCTCCCACTTACTGGTAATTCTGCCTCTGTTGCAGTAGTCAGAATTTTCAGACTAACCCCAATAGACTCTTAACGATCTAAACCTTTTTCTTTGCCATGTTTTCTTCTTCCATAATGTTGTTTCTTGCTCCCATGTAGAAGACAGTGGACTTAAGAAGAGCAGATTAAAGGAAAAATGAAGCTAATTTAGAGGCTTCTGATCATCAGCTACTTCAGGAGACAAAAATTCTGTGCAAAGGAGCCTGAAATTATCATTGCCATGATCTGTGTGTGTGTGGGAAGTAAAAACTCCATCAAACTCTAGTCTCAAATTAGTGCCAAAATATCCCTGAACACGGTCCAGTTCAGGTCTGAGAACAGTGTGTTCAGGATGCAATCAATATCCCTAAATAATAACAAGAATAACAAGAAGGTCACTCAGTGCTGTAAATGTCAGTAAACTTTACTACTGATCAGCACTGAGTAAGTACCTCTTTCTGAATTACTGTTACTTCATTGCTAGAGTACTGATTTTATGCTTTCAGTACTCCTTAGACCAAATAACCATTTTCTGAACCTGTTAGATTTAGTTTTGCATTAGTTCCTTAAATTGGAAAAGTGAGAATAGACGAATACTTTGTATTCAGAAGGATGTAGAAAAGTTTTAGTTTTGTCTGTCTTGATAACAGTGTAGGGACATAGAATCATAGAGTCAAAGATTACTTAGGGCTGGAAAGGCCCTTAAGATCATCTAGTTCCAGTCCCCTGCCATGTACAGTATCTCAAATATTCCCAGCCGCACAAAGCATGAAAGCTAAGCCTGACTCCAAAGAGAGAGAGTTGTTTCTTCTTTTGCTGCTGGAGTGTTCTTCATTAGGTACAGATTTATTTCCAGAAGGCTGTGTATGCTCCCCTCTGAAAATACCAGTTATGTTCTCCTTCTTGGTTTTCTTTGGCTGTCAGCCTCTGCCTGTTTGACTGGGATTTTGTCTTAGTTTGTTTGGGATTTTTTACTCCCTTGAGGACTCAAGACATCCATGTCCTTATGCTGTTTATCAGTAGTGCTCATTTGGGAAGGTGTAGAACATGTTGCCTGTGGCTTGGAGGTCCATCCAAAGCTGTTACTTTTTCTTGTTAAGCTGGAGTCTTAAGAGCATTGCAGAAGAGCCCTCTGCCTTGCTGTGCTGCACTTAGAGACCATGAGTGACATACAGGCAGTCCTGGACAAATTTAGTTCTCCCTACATGCTTCTGGATTGATATGATGCCTTAATCCCATGTGATCCAGCCAGATCTATGTTTGCCCTTGGGTATAGGCAGGAGACAAGTGGGAAGAGGATTGTTGGCAGAAGAAGGCCAGCAGCCTGGATTATAGTAGGGGTCTGGAGGCAGCAGGAAGCCAGTTTGAGGTAACACTGAAGACAAGAAGATGCAGCTATGTTTGGAGTAGAGACTGAGGAATGTGGATTGAGAAAAAGAGTTGTGCTAGGTTTTAAATTATATAAACGTGTTATGAAGTGTTTAAGGAGTATTTGCCTGTTACAAAGAAGGGCTAAAGTAAGTGAGCCTCTGTTAAAAATACCATGGAATTTCAGTCCATTTCAGGTGCTCCAACTTTCTAGAATTCAACTCAGAAAGCCTGTTTTTTCTCTGATGTATGCAAACTTTTATTCTTTCTGGTTTTTAAACATCTGTGGTTCCTACGTCTTATCTTTGAGGTAGGCCTGCATTCCAGTTCTTGTAGTGTCATTGTGGCTTAGGTAGGGGTAATTGAGTTACTTGTGCACAATTCATTATGTAATTGTAAATTAAGGTAAAAGCTTGCTATGAATGATGAGTGTTGCATCTGTGACTGCAGCTTCCATACCCAGTATGATAGGGGTGTGCAGCCTTGTCAGGAGCTGCTGCATTATGGCCCTAATATCCTTAATACCCCAGAGCTCTGCCTGCGCTAGATTCTGGAGTGTCTGCAGAAGGTCCTGCTGAAAGTCAGCTCAGCGATGCCAACAATATGGCTATTCTTTGGCACCTAATCTATCAGATATCAGGCTTTTTTTTTAACTACCAAAACTGGTAGCATTGGGGTTTCTCTAGCTCATAAAAAAGGCATAGTCTGAATGAAAGGAGAAATTCATATTGCTTATTTGTCACAGAATAGGATGGTTATGCTGAAAGTTGCAGACAGTTGTCTGAAACGCGCTAGGTTTGTCCGGTGTCAAGTTGAAGTTCTTCTCTGCATGGCTGCATGTAATTTTATTATTAGCTGGTTGCATTTGTGCTAACAGATTCTGTGATGTTTGCTGTAAATGAAATAAAAAAAAAGAAAAAACAACAGCCACAAACACAGGTAATCTTGTTCTTCAGGTTGAACTCCCACCTCCTGATCTTGGCCCAAGCTCTGCACTGAATCAGACACTTAACTTGCTACGGGAGGTTCTGGCATCACACGACTCATCTGTTGTTCCACTGGATGCCCGTCAAGCTGATTTTGTGCAGGTATGAAAATGTTTGAATTCTCTGAAGAGAAGTGGTGGGGGGAAGTGTATGTAAGTTAGTCTTGGTACACAAAAGATGGGTGAAACATTAAGCTTTTTGTCTGGTTCCATTTTGGAGCTTTCTACCAAACCCGAGTTTGTAATGTGAATAAGAAGGCAACTAACAGATTACAGTACACTATGGAGTACTACTCTTAATGCAGTATCTAAATTCTGTTATCCAATTACTACTCCATTAAGTAAATACACCCTCAATTACCAATTATCTAATCTGGGTTACTCTTCCTCCTGCTATGTTGGAATCTGTCCTTCTCAGGTTTTTATGCTTTTCCCAACAATATGGTATCTGATAACCTGCTGACAAATCCAGCAGAAAAGTACTTTCACAGTTGGAAACTCTCATTTCTCTTTATTCTACTTTGGGGAATAAGTACGAGATAGAAACAGAATGAGCTTAGAAGCCTTGTGTGACATGATTTCTCCCGCCCCCCCCCCCCCCCCCCCCCCTTTTCTGTGTATTTGCTATTTTAGGTTCTGTCTTGTGTGCTAGATCCATTGTTACAGATGTGTACTATGTCTGCTAGTAATTTGGGCACAGCTGATATGGCAACCTTCATGGTAAATTCACTTTATATGATGAGGACTACTTTGGCTCTCTTTGAATTCACTGATAAGCGTCTAGAAATGTTGCAGTTTCAGGTAAGCTTTAACAGCCTCCAAAGAAAATGAAATTATTACTGATTTTTGCGGATTGTAAGTTATGATGTGAACATACTTATCTTTGATAATGCTGGCTTTGGCTCAATTCTGAATCAGGGAAATGGGATAAAAGGGCTTCTTATTAGAGACCATAAGCAAATAGCTGGTATCAGAGTTTATGGTTCAAAGCATCTTCCATTTTAAACAGGCAAAAATGTTTAAAAGATTTGTTTTCATTTAGTTTAGTTGCAGATAAACCCATATAAGTGAATATTTTTATTATCATAATCATTCTAATATTTATCTGCAAACTGAGGAGAAGAAAATGGAAATTGAAAGCGCAAACAGCCACATGGCTGACTATGTTCCATCATGTAGTTAATACTAGGTCATCATCTAGTTTATACTACAGTATTGTATAGCTGAAGTTATTACTTCAATCTGTCATTCTGCCTTTCTTTTCTCATTTGTTTGGTTTCACCTGGTATGCCAGAATAGTAGTTCATATGTGGTACCATTTTGAAATGGAAATGTATGTTTATAAACAGTTGACTTGGGAAAACTCAGTTGCTTCCTGTTTATAGTTTTGCTGCATGAAATCTCTGCAGTCTATCTCGGGAGAGCTTTTGGAGCTGGGGGGCTTGGAAAAAAGTCACAACTTCTTACTTGAAGGCATCAGTAAAGATTGGCTGTGAGCCATTTCTTGCTTTCTACTCCTAATCAGGATTTCTAGCACCTTTTAGCTCTGCAGCAAACAGACAACTCCACCAAACTGTCTGGGTCATTTCTAATTTCCACCATCAGTTCCTTTTTCACAGTTAATGTTGCAACTGAATTATTCTTCAAATAAGCAGTAGAACTGAAGGTTATGCATTTAATACCATTTACTTTCTTCAAGCATTTTACAAATACCAGAACAGACTGAAAAACTATCTCTTAAGATTATACATAAGTAGGTTATTAAAGTGGAGATAGAATGGCATATTTAATAAGAGAAACATTTTTCATAGAAAAAAAAGAATTCTATTAGGACAGCTAAAAATCACCAAATTAAGTTTTCCCTCCTGATTTAAAACGTGTGTTTTTCTAAACAATTTTAAAAAGTAAAAAGGTGAACTCTTAATCAGACATGGAAGTATTATATTTTACTAGAATTTGATGTATTACCAATTTTCGCTTTTCTTTAGGATTGGAAGAAAAAGAAATGAAATGTGGGCTAGTTGTAATAAAAAAGTAATAGTGTGTTTATTCCCAAATATCATTCTAAGACTAACAAAGCTAAAAAATGGTTGCTGGTGCTGTGACTGGATTTATTGATTACGTTTCTCTGCAAAGTGAAGATTATACTAAGAATGTAAAATATGTTTATGATGCTTTTCATATGAATTGATAGCTGTAATTTAATTTGTCTATTGTTCTTTCTGTTAACCTTTTTCAAATACATATTTATCAGATTTGAATTTAGAATCACTACTGATTATTATTTAGTTTCAGTTTTATTTTCCTTGTGAAAGACTTTGTCTCTCTGTTTATCATAAAACTGCGATGCCATTGTCAGTATTTTCAGTAAGAAAGGCTCTTCATGGGGGACTGTAGTGATAGGACAAGAGGTAATGGGCTCAGAGGGTAAGTTCAAGTTAGATGTAAGGAAGAAGTTCTTTACTTCTTCCTTATGTGAGGATGGTGAGATGTTGGAACAGGTTGCCCAAAGAAGTCGTATATGCTCCATCCCTGGCAGTGTTCAAGGCCAAGTTGGAGAGAGCCTTTGGCAACATGATTTAGTGTGTGGTGTGCCTGTCCATGGTAAGGGGGGATGGAACTAGATGATCTTAAGGTCCTTCTCAACCCTAACTATTCTGTGATTTTCATCATGTATTTTCAAAGAACTATAGCAAAATATAGCAATTTTTGAGATTAGAGTTTAGGTATTTTTTTTTTTTTTTAATGCTGTTTTATTTACAAATACAAAAAAAATAGGTTCTCCTGTCAGGTGTGAAAGAAATATCTGTATTTTTGTTATTGGCTTTTTGTAATATAAAAGGTGTAAATGGATAAAATAGTTGTGCTTTATGTATTTGTGCTTTTTATTGTTTGTTGATCACTCTCATTTGTGCTTCTAGACCTTTTATCCCCATAGCTTGTTCGATTTAATGTTCTCACATACATTTTATAAATACCTTGCACTTAAAATTTCAGATTGAAGCTCATTTAGATACACTCATAAATGAACAAGCTTCCTACGTGTTAACAAGAGCTGGTCTAAGCTACATATATAACTCAGTGCAGCAACACAAACCAGAACAGGTAAGCTTATTTAATGTTCATGTTGAGGATATACTGCATGCTTGTCTACTAGAAGAATTTTGTCATTAATGTTTTTGCAAATGAAGCTGCTTCTGAAGGCAAAAGCTCAGTAGTATCTGTTGATTTTTCACATGGGACCAGGACTTTTAGACCTGACACATTGCAGCTAAACATTTCCTCTACACTGTGTGTTCTGCAAGCCTAGCAGGTTTAGGATGCAACAATCCTGTGCAGCTTATCTGTGTGCCATCAACAGGCTCCATACACCACAGACATCCTGTACATTCTCAGACTGACTGTATAAGTAGTTTAATGTGCCTCAGAAAGTGTCAAACTGGCTTTAAAACAAATACTGAGTAGGTATACTACTTCCATTGCACCTAGAACATAGTGGACCTACATGTGTGCATGAAGCATTGAGGTTTCTCCTATTGCATGCTATAGCGCCATACATGGAGTGAATAAATACCCTGCATGCAGTAGGTAATTACTCCTTTTTTTTTTTCTGTGAAAACTTGGCAGATGAGTTTAGTCAGAATTTGAAATAGTTTCTACTTTTGTCATTATTCACTGCTACAGCTATTCTAGCACCAAGACAGTGAAAGTCTAAAAGTGAAAACTTGAGATTTCTTTGAGCTGAAAACTGGAATTCAGATTTCATGCTCTTCTTTCTGATGAACCACAGTTGTTATGTGATAGGAGTTAATACAGCCTTTCTTCTCTTCAGCTGTGCTTATGTCCTTTTGTGATCCTCTGAGAAGGTGAAGAACAGTGTTTTCTGGAGAAAGCAGAACTCTGTTGGATAGCTTTATGTTGTTTCTTCAGCCAATAATTTTGCATAAAGTCCCCAAACTCGACAGATTTTTGTGTATAAAGATGAATAAATAAATATATAAATAATAATGATTAATAATTTGGTTTAGTTTCCTATTTATGAGGCTATCTCCTTTTCTAAAACGGATTTCAGATCAACCAGGGCAGATTGTTAATGGAATGTAGCAATTTTCATTTATTCCTGTACAATTGCCTGGCTGCAGAGGTGACAATTCTTACAGAATATGCTAGGGGGTTAGGGCAGCATGTACGTATTGTATGTAATGCCATGCCAGTACAGAAGATTTATTGGGAAGCAGCCTTTAATTCTGCACAGATGAATAGAGGGAAGTTGTCCTCTGTAATTTTGAAACACCACAGGGATGTTTCCAGTTTGCAGTTCAGTTTTTATCCTAGATCTTGTGGAAGGCTTTGGGGGGGGGGTGTATTATTTAATGGTGAAGAAGGAAGGAAGGAAAGGACTTGAAAGGACGTATTAAAATTCTCTGAATTTTTCATATAAGAAAGCAGTAGAAATCAAATGAACTGTTGCAACATCTCAGTATTGATATGGTGATTCAGTTTCCAAACATTTAAGATTCTGTAGCACAACCAAATAACAATTTAGTACTGAACTGAATATAGATTTTATTATTTCATATCTTTTTTCCATATGCTAATATGACCTTTTTTTCCCTCCCCCTTTGACTACTTATTCTTAGGGCCCTCTTTCATGTTTGCCAAATATGGATTCTGTGTCCCTAAAGGTTGCAATGGTAAGCATTTTTACGATTTCATACTACAGTGGTGATGCTGTGACATGGGAAAGAATACTATTAATTATGTGATGTAGTAGATAGTCATCTAACCAGTCTCTTTAAGAATAGCTAAATTACATGTCTGGGAATACTTTCTTCATTTGTAGTAATTTGACCACTCAAAGTAATAAATACATAGATTATTTATGAATGGGTAGTAGTAGAAGATTAGTTTCTGAGTCTCAAGAAACAGAACTTTACTTACAAGAATGCTATCCCATGAGTCATCTTTAATTGCTGAAAGCAAATACTTAGCTGTAATTAGTTTTAATCACCAAAGTTTCTTTTTTGCCTGTATGCTTTGAAATATAGGTTCTGCTATCATTTATAATTTTAGTCCTAACACTTTGATTTTATGTAAATAGTTCAGCTAAAGTCAGAAATCAGGTGCTGGGCATGTCACAGTAGCATTTTTTAAGTTGAAAGTTATAATGTACTTTAAAACAAATTATCAGCTGATACTTTTTCTTAAGAGTGTGTGGAGGCTATTTTACATAGAGATAGCAATATCACAGTTCAGTAGGCAATAATAAATGATCTGTCATTCTTCTTGCTTAGCCAAGTTTAGCTTCATTCTGAAAATCTTAACTGTAAATAAGGCCCACTCATCCAGCAGTACATGTATAACTCCATGAAAAAAAGTCTTTTAAAATTATTTTTCTTTTCAAACAAGTTTTTTTAGAAAGTTGTGTGTTGAATCAATCCTAATGTTGTCAGCGTAACCTGGTTTCCTCTGTTCAAGTTTTAAACCAGTGATTCTGAAGCTGGTTGGATGAACAGAGCTCTGGCACAGAGCACTCAGTGGTATACTCAGATTGCATGCATTCTTACTAATATAATATTTATAAATTTTGCATTTAAAATATCTTCTATTTATCATGGTCTGTACACCAGCGAGGAATTTAAAGACTGCAGTTTGGGAACCATCTCCTTAAATTATATACATGTAACTCTATTATCTATAGTGGTACATAGTAATTTCACTTGAACACTTAGAGAAGACCGCAACTGTTTTATTTTCTTCATTACTTTGTTCAATGTGTGCTTGTGTCCATACACTTTAACCAGAATAGAACCCAGTATGCTGAAATGAAACCCACAAAAGTCCCAACTATCACAGTAATCTGTTGGCTTCCCAGGATGTAAACCATGTGGAGGGAGTACTTGCAAGCAGATTTACTGCCTCCCAGTTTAACTGAATGTTTTCCAGGTCCCATCTTTTTAAGTTGCTCACGTGTGCTTGCAAATACTGTTCTAGTAAGTCCATATCCCCCTTTAAGCTAAAGCTCTATTGCTTTCCAAACAAGGGTAGATAACCCCAAAAAGTTAATTTGTGAGAACTGCAACTTCATTAGTCATTTTGCCCACATTTTGCCAATTTAAGTGATGGGTAGATGTGGATTTTAGGGTTTACCAGCTTGAGAAGATTTATCCAGTGTTCGGGAAGGTTGCCATCATTAGATAAAGTTGCCTAGGACCTTGCCTGAGTGAGTAATTCCAAGGATAGAGCTTATACTGCTCTTCTGGGCAACCTGTTCAGTGTTTGATGACACTCCTGGTGTGAATTTTTCCCTTAGTATCTGATCAGAATTCTCCTTAGAGTAATATGTGTCCAGTATTCCTCATGTTTTCACCCATGAGAAGCCCTGGCTCCATCTTCTGTATAGTCACCCATTTGATCACAGAATGTTTTGGGTTGGAAGGGACCTTAAAGGCCATCTAGTTCCAGTCCCCTGCCATGGACAGGGACATCTTTCACTAGATCAGCTTGCTCAAAGACCTATCCAACCAGGCCTTGAACACTTCCAGGTGCGGACCATCCACAACTTCACCGATAGATAGGTGAAGACAGCAGTAATATTCTTTCTTGTTTTCTTCTCCAAACTGCTAGAATCAAAGCAACACAACTCTGTTATATGGGGGAGGAAAAGTAGGCTTAGAAGCAGTTCAAGGAGCCTGAATTAGGTCCCTTGCTCTTGTTTTTCCCAGCGTAAGCGCTCCTTATTAAGCAGTGACTACTTGCCAACCTATCTAACTTGAACTGACTAGATTTGTGTCTGAAGGCTGCTATACTCCCTCTGCACCTAATAGGCAAGGTCCAAGCTTCAGTGATGCATGCATACCTGCACTAGCTGCATAGGAAACTTAGATGGATAATTGTGGAAGCTGGATTCTCATCACTTACCCTTCCACCCTTACTCCTCAGAGTCAGAAACTTAAAATTTCGGTGACAGAGGTGCTGAAGTTAGCCATTTGTTTTGCACAAGTAAGTTCTACCTTAAACATTTGTAGATGATAAGGCTCTATCTTAAATACATAAAAAGAGGAAATTTTATCATATAAGAGAGTGCCATTTTAATGTAATCACTTTTCAGAAATCTGTGATTTTACCTATTTTCATATAACAGCAAATTCATAGTATGTTGGTCTCATACTCTCTTCCCCTCTGCCCTAGGCTCAGTTTGATCGCTATCTGTCTGCTCCAGATAGTCTGTTAATGGCCCAGCTGAATTTCCTTCTCAGTGCCACTGTGAAGTAAGTACCTTACCTTTGAGTTTCTGTTATGCCTGCATAATCAGAAAGATTAGATCAGAAAGATGAATTTGATTAGGATTTAGTGGATGATGGTGACATATGTCAAGGGAAAAATATTTATTGTTCAGAATTTATTAGACTAGAATAGTTCAGTTGGAAGAGACCTGCCATGATCAGCTCATCCAACTGCTGCATTCTCCTGCTGTATTGCTCAGGTTCTCCTCACCCAAAGACTTCCAGTTTCATGCCATATACTTGGTGCATGGCTTGGCATGGGGGATGTTGGTGATTTTCAGTAGGTTGTTGGGTGTCTCTGCTTGGGTTACCATTCCCACCGAGTGGACCCTGGTGTGTGAGAGCTGCTCTGCTCCAGTATGGATCAAACGGGGTAGCTTGAGCAGTAATGTCAGTGAGGTGTTGCAACTTCTGCTTCTAGGTGTCAAGCTGTTAAACCTGTATTTTAGCTCTTGGTATTTTGTTAATGTAGATCTATTTAAAAATCATAACAACAGTAAATGTATTTCGAAACCTTCAACTTCTCTCTGCTAACACAGAAGCAATTTTTCAGGGGTAGACTTTACTGTAATGACTCAGGCACAGTGAAATTACTTTGACTTGTTTCTTCTTAAAATAATCCAAGATAAACTGGTCCTGTATGCACACCTAGCCTTATCCCCTTGATAAGCTTTTTAAACCTCTCTTAGTGCAGTTTAAGCTGAATTCATGTTATCTTGCAAGAGTGGGCAGCTGAGAGGGGAGCCTGTGTGAGGATGGTTGCTATAGGTGCTACAGCTCAGCTAACATGCAGGAGTTTGTTAACCTGCTGTAACTCAGTGCTATAGGTCCGGTTCTGCTCAGAATTTAAAAAAGAAATAAATAATCTGTCAGCCTTAGACCATGTAGTTTTAAACAGGACAACCCAGGACAAACATAAACAGTCCTTTTGAAGGTAAGGTTCCAATTTATAGAGGTGCATGCTTGTAGAATCATGGTCTTAAGAGTCAGTATTTTTTTGTAGTGAATAAACCTTCAAAATCCAAAAGTATCTCAAGATTTGAGCAAAACATTTAACCAGTACTATAATTTTAATCTTTGGCTATAGCAGTTGAAAGTTTTGAGTAGTTTTGCAGATGTTCAATGTCAGTTTTGAAGATGTCTTCCTTGAATTCACATAATTGTGATCTACTGTACTAACAGTTGAGCTGCAACCCAAGAGCTCTTTGGTTCTCAAAATCAGACCACACACTTCTGATAAGGGACTAGTGTGTGAAATACTTACTGGCAATATCATTTATGCTTTACAACTATAAAGAACATTCAACATTTGGCAGTGCATGCTCTTGTCTTTCAAATTCCTTTGCTCATTTAAAAAGTTTCAAGTTACTAATTTATGTCACTGTTGGTCTTGAAAAGCTCTTTGCATTTGTGTTGGATCACAGAAACTGAATGCTGGAATTACTATTTTTAGAAGGTGCTGTCATTTGTGTTTGTGATAAAATGTATCATGTTGTTATGGCAACTGAAATCCTAATGTACTGATTAATGACACTGACATTATTTGATGGATTTGTGAACGGCATCATTTGATGCTGTTCACTCCTCTGGAATATTTTAATGAACTTTTCCTTTTAATATTATTTGGTGCAGTACAGTTAGTTTTGTACGAATCCTGTATGCAGTACTTTCTTGAAAGATTGTCATGTTACAGTAGCTTAGTGATCCCAGACAATGATCGGAGGATTACAGGTGTTTTACCTGAATGCCATGAATATATTTCCCTTGTAACAGTGTTTCTAGATTTGCTATTATAAGGCCAGTCTTTTTTTCAGGTATTCTAAAATCTTAGTAATACTGGCTGTTGATAGTATATCAAAAACCTGGATACCATGCATCAAACTACAGTGCAGGTTTTGTCTCTGAGTCTTCTTTCTCATAGCTTCTGCTGCTTAATTATTTCCTGAAAAGATGAAGTTCTACGCACTTGGTCTTTGAGATTTGTCATTTCCCAGCAGCTGGTGAATTCAGCCCTGATTTTTGTGAATGCAGTTTTGGTGTCTTTGTTCCTTTGCTGTGTACTACAGCAGGGCTGAATCTGCATTCACGGTTACCTTGTTTTCCTCAGCTTCTCCTGGTGTTCCATTTGCATGGATTTGGCTGTAAAACAGTTGCAGCTACCCTTTCTGATAAATAAAAACGTGTCTGCAACTATAAACACATCACCATGGTTATTAAACTGATTCAGTGCAGTGTAAAACAAAAATATTAGTTGATCCTCAAAAAATATTAAACTTTCCAGTTGAAATTAGCATGCAGTTTCCATGCGTTCTTACTCATTTGGATCCAGTAAAATAACAGGACACAGACTTTGTAGGATTGTTGGTAGAAGGCTGTAGCAATTTTTATATCTCTGTCCATTATCACTTTCAGCTCTTCCTTTTTGACTATGGAATCAGGTGCTATTGAGATAAAGCAAATAGAATATATTTGCTGGTAGATGAAAAAGAGTGAGTCTGTTTACAAAGGACAGTGAGAAGCCCTAGGAAGCAGAAGGCAGATCACTAAGATTATCAGTCTTTTAGGAGAAGCAGGGGAGTGCAGCTGGAAAACTAATGTATGCAAATTAAATCCTTCTACTATTTTTTACATGATTACAAAACTTAAGAAACTAATTTCTTGGTTATCAAGATCATATATGTGACTTTATCTGTGTACAGTGAAAGGAGATGAAGAAGCCTTTTATTTTAAAACTTTTAAGATGCTTTCACAGTCAAAGAGCTTTTTAATGTAACTGACACTGGTTTTTAATCTGTATTTTTAGTGTGTATCTTTAATTCCTTGTATGTAGTACAATTCTATTCCTTGCAATTTTCAGATTATGTTTTTGGTTTGTTTTTTTAGAGAGCAGATAATAAAGCAGTCAACAGAACTGGTCTGCAGAGCTTACAGTGAGTTATATGCAGCTGTGATGGATCCTTCAAATGAATATAAGGATCCAGAAACCATACTACTCAGATCTCCTCATCAAGTTCAGGCGCTCCTTTCATAATCTTGTTTCCCCCAGATTTTTCAGAATCCATAATTGTGTATTTGTTAGGTATTTGCATCGAGTTATTTTTCTGTTTTGAATTTTGATGTGTAAATATATTGTTAAAATGTGTAGGAGTGCAGTTTTGTTTAATCTGCTTGGCAGAAGTTGTCTTTCCTGTGTCTTTGAATACCTTCCATAGGCCAGACAATAGAATATAGATTAAAAATTATTTTAATGTGTTTCTCTTATGGGAATGGACCTTGACAATGTGCAATCTCTTTGAAAAAGAAAAAACTTTTTCCTTGCTGTACATAATCCTTTCAACTAGAGGGTGAACCAGTATCTCTTACAACCTCACCAATACTTTTATTTGCTCTTTTTCCTGTTCTTTCACTCTTTTTCTCAGTTTATCAAGAGTAAATCCTGATAACTGTAATTTTGATTGAACTGATATACTTAGAATGTCTCAAGTGCATCACTTTTACAGCTCATAAATCATTTTGGAGTATCTGATGCTGTTTTTTCAAATCCTGTTGATTAAATCTTTGAGGCAAAATTTGTGTGCTTTATTGGAATCCAGTATCGTTGCTAGTTCTGGTGGTTTCTGTAAGAAAAAGAAATATTTTATCTACATGCAAGTACAGAACCTGGAACTTAATGCTTTCAGCTATTTGTATAAATTTGTTTTACTTGAAGGATTTTGTTTTAATGCAGTTGTTCTGTAGCATTCCTTTTACCGGTTGAAACTTGTTGATCTCTCAAGGCTGGAACCTTAAGAAGGTTAGGAGAATGGCTGGCACAGCACTGTGGCCATTCCTCATGTACATGGGTTTTGTTTTGCCTTTTTTTAAGTACGGAAAAGTCCATTTGGTCTAGTACAAGCATTTATTCAATTAATAATCCACCAAAAGCGTCATGATTTAGATATCTGCAGTGTTCTTTGCTCTTAAAAATTATAGTTAAGCTCACCTATGGCAGCCACAGTTTGTCATGGGAATTACATGCGAAAGCCGGGGCACAGTGCTGTTTTAGGCTGATGTGTAGAAAGCCATGAGTAAAGGTTTAACTTCTTTTCTCCTTCAGTGCAGAGCTGAATCAGCTTTGTATAGAAATCTTAATTATATGGAGAGTTATGATTTTGGGGACCCTTGCTTCCAGTAAAATGGAAAATAGATAACTTAGGACACTTGTTCTCTGTTGGGCCTTATGATAATTCTTTGCAAATTCCTTAAATGTATTATTCCTTCAGGAAAGCCTTGCTACAGAGAAACCTTAAGGAAAGAAAAATAGTAAAAGGAACTTGGGGTGTTTTGGGTTAGGTTTTTTGGGTGGTTGTTTGGGTTTGTACTGGTTTTGGTTTTTGGGTTTGTTTTTTTTTTCTTATGATAATTTAAGGTAAGTGGTGTTTTTTGGAAGCATTTCATGATTTTTTTTCCTTCTCTTTGTGTGCCACGGAGTTACTACAGTTGCCTGCGTTTACACTCATATTGGACATATCTTATTTATGTACCTCAGGGGAGAGATGAGCAGTCATTCATATTGAATAACTTACATATTTCATTTTTATCAGTAATAATATTCTTATATGAAATATATACTTAGTGGCAGGCAAGTCTGCAGTGTAGTGTATGCTTGCAAAAGAGCAAGAAATAGAGAAGAGCAGCAGCAATACATTTTAGTCTCTTGAAAACTCATTGCACAAGATATATCCAGTGTGCTCAGAAAGGAGCTTCCTTGGTACTACCGCAAAAAAGCAATAGCTCCTTTTCCAAATGGGCATAATTTGTTGGTATAATGGGAAAGGATTTGAAAGTGTAAGTGTCCCTGGAGTTCTTGGATCAGGCATAATTTTTTCTATAAACGTCAATGTTGGATTTACTCTGTTTAAAACCTCCAGACCTGTAAGACAGGAAACATTCTAGAAGCTTAGAAAAGCTGTAATGGAAAATTATGCTCTTATATTAGGTAAGGCACTTTAAATTACTCAGATTTTGCATTATTATAGTATAGATTTGGGTGTCTGTTCATTGTTGTTTAATAATGTTAATATTGCTTAATATGCCTATAATTATTATCTAATATATGAAAATTACATCAGTTGTGAAAGGTTTATAAATTAGCTTGTTATTAGATTAACATGCTCATAAGAGGGAACTTTTTCCTGAAATTACACTCAACCTCAGTCTCCAATAATCAGTCAGTAGTTTGCATGAGGATTAGTAAGAAGTTGCTTCCTGTCTTTGAGTCCATGTAGAGACTTATCCATGATTTTATCTTCTCTTAAAAAAGCTATGCAAATGTAAGAGCTATAAAAATTGTAACTTACAAAAATAAAATCAATCACTAATGTTGGTCTGTGCAATTAAACTAAATGACAAAGGGTCACAAATGAGAATGGACATTAATAAAAGTATTTGGTTTACTGATTTCTGCCTTCCATGTTGTTATTTCCTTTTGCTTGCCTACCTAAGAGGAGGAAGGAAAAGATTAATAGATTTTGACCTGCTTCTTCTAGCTGAGCATTCCTGAGCTTTTTTATTTTGCAAATTCCTAGGATTCACACACCAGGAACTGTGGCACCGCAGTCCTGTAATTGTTCAGTGAGAGGGATGACCCATAAATACTGCAGTAAATGGAATCACTATGGGTGTCAGTACCGGGCACGTATTCAGTTACTGCAGCTCTGACTGGCGTGACAGTGCATGAATTGGTGCTCAGCTGCATGGCTGAGTAAGTCAGCACTCCTCCTGTTGGTCCTTTAGCACTTCATTTTGAGGGGCATGCTTTCAAAGAGTGAGTCCCTTACCCTGTTGTGAGCAGCAATATGCTTGGGAAGAGTGGGTAAAGAGAGGTGTTTGAGTACTGGCTATAGTAGGCAGCACTCTTAGCATTCGACACTGACAACCCAATTCAAGAACAGATGCATACAAGGCTTCTTTTTGCATCGTTGTGTGATGCAAAGAGCACTTTTGTGGGAAGTGGGCAAGCTGGGTTCTGGGCCAGAGGAGTTTGGAATAGATAGTTCCCACCTTCCTGGAGAGCACCCAGGCCCTTGGCAGTTGTGTAATACGACATGGGGTAGCTCTGTTTTTTCTCTTTTGAATTTAGCAGCTGTGCGTAAACCAGTACAAAATGTAAGAGGCATGAGACAGAATAAGCAAGGAGTTTGGCCCTGTGGCATATATGTGTGTGAGGGCTCTTCTGAGGACTCCCAAGTCTAGATCTACCTCCAATTGTTATGTAGGGACCTTATCATTGACCTCCAATATATGAGTCTCCAAAACAGAATCAGGATCCTGGGACTTCACTGTGAGGGCTAGGACACTGGAACAGGTTGCCCAGAGAAGCTGTGGCTGCCCCATCCCTGGCAGTGTTCAAGGCCTGGTCTAGTGGGAGGTGTCCCTGCCCATGTCAGGGGGTTGGAACTGTATGAACTTTAAGGTCCCTTCCAACCCAAACCATTCTACAATTCTGTGACACTATTACCCACAGAATATCCATCAAACAGCAAAATGCAGAGCTGACTTCGGGTTAGACCCAGTGTAGTTCATCCACACTGGTAACGATGCCTCTGTGTTCAATCCTGTATATAGAATTTTCTCCTCCCCTCTTTATAAATGCACACACCACCATGGAAATTAAATACAAAACTGGTTTTAACTGCAACAAGCCCACAGCAGCCCAGCCACAGTGATTTGTTTTCTATCATAGGAAGACAGAAGCTTGAGGAGGCTTGGAAAGTGGCAGTAAGTTCATTTTGCAGCGTTTCAAAGTGCTCTTCCCTCTTCTCAGAGATTTATGTCTCTAGCCCTGATTTTTGTCTGTTAATACACTCAGCTGTAATTATTTTCATTAACGTTTTTGAAATATGTGTTGGAGGAAAATACTTTCAGAACTTTTCCGTTCACTTAAAAACCTCAATCTGTCCTTTGATCCCTTTGCTTGCCTTGCTGAGTCACTTCACAGGCAACCCTGGGGGTGGGAAGCTTATAAAACACTGAAAATCAAACAAAGGGGTTAGACGTATTTCCATGAGTAAAACACACCCTCCAGAAGCAACACAGACATGGGTGTGGGTTTATTTGAAATATTCTGCCACCTGCTTCTAACGGGAAAAAGCAGACAGAGACACTTGCTTATGATGAGGGCACCAATCCAAAACAGCCATAGTAGAGTTAGATGCTGTAAATTGATGTCATGTTTGTATAGTCTGGAGAATCTTCAAAATGTGGATTAGAAGCAACTGGCAGTGGAAGTGAAAGGTATGTCATGTAACTGAACTCCCTCGCATACTTACTCATTAAAGGTTTCCAGAACCTGTGCATTTTTACCCCCTGCTCTTAAGCAAACTAAACTTCAGCTTCTGCTTTTTTGCTCTTTGCAAACTAATCTTCCAAGACAATCCTGCAACTGCTTCACCAGTTCTAACCCTCAGGTGATTCAGAGTAAAATGAGATGCTTGGCATCACCCAGGGGCATACGAAGCAGTAGCTGAACCTGGAGCCAACTTCATTCTCGAAATAATTAAAAGAAAATGGGAAATTAATATAACTTGAACTTGGATGTTCATCCAGAAGGGCAGGACAGGCAATGCCGTTTGTATGGCAGGGCAGGTCTCTCTGGCCGTCTGCTGCACAGCAGGAAGCCAACTTCAGTTTTTCAGAATCAAACTATGTCCGTATTCTAAAGGTGAGCATGTGCTGCTGTGCTTTTCTAAACTGGGTGTCCACTGCCCAGCTAGGCTGCTGGGCTGGTGCTCTGGTGGGGATGCCCGGTATATGTAGTTACTGAATTCTCAAAACCTGGGCGAGCCTTTGACACACAAAGGTCACCTTCTGATACCGCAGCTATCTACATCCTTGAGTAAAGAGCCACTTCACATAGAACTCTGGTAGGGCTGAAATAAACTCAGACATCGCTTCCATCTTTCACATCTTTCACAGGCTGTTGATCCCCTCAGAGATGATGTAAGTAAATCTTCAGTCATCTGCAGAATTCTGCAGTGCAAAGCTATGGAGAGACAAAGTGCAAAGGAGCACTTTACACCTGAAAATGCACATTTATCTTATGCACATCAATGTACATCTCTTACATACGGCACACCCCCCTCACACTACACAGACCTTGCATACAGTGGAAAGATGGACCGCAAAAGCCGTTCTCTTAATGGAGAAAGTTTATTTCTACTTTCTTGCTTTAGCAGTAAGGAAACCTTGATTGAGCAAGCTATGGCTGAAAGGTGTTTGATAGATTATTGCAGAGCAGCTGACAAAAAAGAAAGAAGGCTGTTGCATGTTTCATATTCAGACAATGAAGCTTTCATTTGCTGCCTAGTTCACAGATGTGGTATTGTCAAATTGCAGGAAAATGCCTGGCAGACTGTATCACTGACTATATTTAGGGGGAAAAAAAATTCAGAACACACTATTTATAGAAGCCACACAAATAAGCACAGAGTTCTTATCAGCCAAAGATAACATTAGCCATGATTTATCAAAGTAATCTTTATTTTATGGAAAATAGATAATAGGGTGTAATTTAATCCTTTGTGAATGTAATGTATATTTCAAAGGGTTCTTTTTTGTCAATAAAACCATTTGTTGTACTTGTTAAACTAATTAGTCTTGTTGCTGTTGCTTAGGACAGGATAAAATGTGCCCTTTAATGAAAAAAAAAAAAAAGGAGGAGTAGACGGGTT